CTCTCTCTCTCTCTCTCCTCCAGGTCACCGACTTATCCACAGTTTCACCCCACAAACCAAGCACCATTCTGCCGCCATTCACCCCGTCAATGTCAAACACTCGACTCCATCATTTAATGCCCCCTTTCACATTTTGGACTCCGCTCCCGAAAATAAAAAGTGCCAGCCCCGAGCCTCCGCGGACACCATGACGTCACCGGCGGAGCAGTGAAGTAAAACAATCAACCCCTCACTCCTCTTCCTCTTCCTCTTGCTCCGCGACCGACCGACCGACCGACCGCCCGACCGACCGCCCGCCTCATCAGTGGCGTCTACAAACCCCACAGACTCAGCTGACGGACGCCAGCGCGGAGCTGCATTGTTGTGTGTCTGTCTCCTGTCTCCTGTCTTAGCGCAGAGGGTTGCCACCGCTCGTCCACAGCACAGCCCCGGTACACGGTAAAAAAAAAAAAAAAAAACAGAAGAAGAAGCCTGGTAACCAGTTTATCTTGTGTCCGACAACAGGAAAGAAAAAAAATAAGATAAAAAATAAGCATGTCTGCTCAGCCCGGTGAGGAGCTCGGCTCGGAGGGGAGGTGGTTTGGGGATGACTATGAGAGGAATGGCCTCTTTGGGAACACACCGACCCGTTTCGGCGAGTTACGTGACGATTTTAAGCCGAGAGGCGGCGAGGTGTCGGGCGACCAGGATCAACAATTTCATCCTTCCCAGGACGACAGGAAAAGGCCTCCCGTTGCTATGGAAACTGCATCTACAGGTAAAGCGGGCGGTCTATCGCAATTTAAGTCGCGATGTTTGACCAATTTGTAGTGTTTTTTTATTTATTTTTTTTTTATTTTATTTTTTTAGCCACGTTAGGTTCAGTGTTTGTTCAGCTTTTATTAAACCACACACACACACACACACACACATACATCGGTGTTTAGGTGTAAATACAGAGAGAGAGAGAGAGAGAGAGAGACAGGGTATTTGTCACAGATATAGTGTTACGACAGACGGCCTGTCTGGCGGCTCAGTTAAAACTTCTGGGCTTGAAAACACAGAAACAGAGATCCTAGCGAGTAACTTCCATAGGATGAATCAGCTGGCACAAGAGCGGTGTGGAGGGGAATCCTATGAGGCATCTTCAAAACTCAGTCACACTTGATCCCAGCTTTATCCTTTTATGTAGTTATGAAACATCCAGTGTGATCCACTGTCTGTAGAGAGGATGCAGCAGTAAGAGACAGCCTGTTGAACTTTGAATGTACGCTCACACATGTAGGCACATGTAATAAACTACCTGCGTTCTGGATCTGGTGAGGTTGAGGGATGATAAATAGATTACAGGTCTAAGCTCTAGCTTTCACTGGGTAGAAAATAATTAAATCCTACACTTTATCAGCAGACTTAACCAAAAGATTTACCCAGTCCTGTAACCAGTAGCCTGTATGATGACTGATGATTCCCACCTTCCTGTTGTGGTATACTGTTGATGATATAGTTACAGTGCTGGATGCTGGAGGCAGTGTTTTTGTGGGAACATCATGCAGACCTCAGTTCTTAGTCCGTCACTCTCTTCAGCACAGCTCGACTCATGCTGCTATTTTTAATCCTGAAGGAGCAGGGCTCACTATTCGCTTGGCGAGCAAAACTAGAGCCCTGCACTTTCATTCACGAATTCACTGAAAAATTCATGAGATGATGTTTTAAAAAAAAAGAAAAGAAAACACCGCCTAGTTTCCTCTCTTTGGTGCTCTGGCCTTTCTCATTTTGCTGCCTGCTGCTGCTCCAAAACAAGAAATAGAGATAAAACATGTCATTGTTTTTTTTTGTATATCCGTTAAGTACAATGCATTATTAAATGCTTTGAATAAATTAGACTTTAATCCGTTAAAGCACAGAATTTGGCATTAAAGTAGAACTTTAATATTTAAAGCTAAAAATGTTGCAATGGAAAAAAGGAATTGCAAAATTTACATAACCTAGGAAAGTCAAAAATGATCCTCTTGAAGCAGACAGACTGTAAAATATATGTGAAATGATAAACTGTCTAGTCAGTGTTTGGCCTCGCTTTCTACCAAAAAACAAAACAAAGCACATGCTCTACTTTCATCATAGTGTGCCAGACAAACTCAAACTTGTACACAAACACAGATTGTGTTTTGATGCCTGAAAGAGGAAAGGATGGCGGTCTCATGTTGCTTTGACTCCAGCCAGTGTCCATACCACTGAAGTAATCCCCTCTGTCACTTATGTTCTTGGTGGGAACAGTGCAGATCTCATCACATCGAGCAGGGCAGAGTGGACATTTTCCTCTTGACCGGGCATGTTATAGTCCGTTCTGATCTTTGTCAAAGACATATTCACTCCCAATAAACACACCTTCCGTCTCTAATAACAGCTCAAGTTTTGGAAACGTAAAGATTTTTTTTACTCAGGCCAAATAAGAAGTTCGGCCTTTGAAGAGTACGAACTGTGAAATAGTAGCTCTTCAAGATGTCTAGAATTGCCTCGCTAAGTAATCGATCCATGCCTGTCCTAAATCTTGTTCACAACAGTGATCTACCCACAGGACGCCGATAATGCTGATTTCAGCTGTATTAAATTACCACAGGGCAGAACCCCAGCCTCAGATCACAGGGAGTACAGTGCATTATAGCCTCTTTCAACGTCAAAAGTTTTCCCATCCTGAGAAAGAAAGTTTTGGAAGATATTGCTGCATCATGACAGTTCTAAGTGTGCAGTGAAAATCCCACAGTGGAGTTTGTTTTTAGCTCGTCTAGCCTCCCCTGCTCTCTGGCATAGAAAAAAACAACAACTAAGTGCATGTTGTACACAAACAGTGGCACCTCATTTTGACATCATCCTTTTTCCAACCAGCTCTTTGTAGCTCATTACAATGCAATATAATGGTCACTTTATCATGTTCTGACAAAGTGCATCAGTCATGAGAAAGAGAAGAAAGGCGGATTAGACTCGAGTCTCTCTCCGTTTCAGCACATCATCAGTGACAAGGATGAGACAGCATATGTCTGGCTCGCTCTTTCCCATATCTTTCGGGTAGAGAAAGCACTTAGTGGACTCGGCTGGACTGCATAAGCCAGCACAGTGCATTTGTTCCTTTAGCTGGTGAGAGCTCTGCTCCTGTTCCCAGGGGGGCCAAGCAGTGCTACGTCTTTTCAGACCGGATGATAAAGATGCAAGATAATACAGGGGTGGAGGAGGAGTAGGAGGAGGAGGAGGAGGGGGAGGAGGAGGAGGAAAAGGAGGGGGAAAGCAGCTTAATGGCAAGAGAGGCGAGGCTGTGACGAGAAGGCCGATAGTTCATAGGGCGAAACTGTCGGGGGGAGAAACTGGAAATACAAAGAACTATCATTTCTTCCTTCACCTTTTTATTCAGTATGTTCCAGATGTCAGTGGTCAGCAGAGCAGCTCCCCGGTGCGAGCCAGGGTTACTTCCATTAGCGTGTGGTTAAAAATGTGTTGTCCTAGCACCTTACATAATAAAATAGGGCTTAAAGTGTGTACAATATATACTAGTGTGTCTGCTCTCCCGAATGATTGGGTCCTAAGTGCTCATCCTGTGCGTTACCTGCCAGGTTTCCAATCTCATTCATCTTCATCTGTCTCCAGGAGCAATTACCTAATGCTGAGGGATAAAAGGACACATAAAAGCATGACAGACCAAGCCCAAAAAGCTCCACTGCGGGGGACAGTAGCAAAGCATTACTGCTATCATCATATCCATAAATCAGAATTTCTCACGTGCTTTGATCCCCTGTGTTTACCCTGAAAACAATTAAGGGCCAACATGTGAAATATGACGCCATGTTTACGATCTTAATGCCTCGGTCCAGGTCTCCAGCCTGTGGGCACGGAGTAATCCCTGAGCTCAGGGGATTAGAGCTACTATCAGCAGAGACACTTAAAAACAGCGCAGTCCATCAAAATCGTTTGTAGGTTATTGTAGCCTACACCTTCCTGCCAGCGTCTGCACTCCATAACGCCAAAATCTGTGTGCACAATGAAAGTGAAATGCCAATCTAAAGTCACACTGAATTGACAGCTTTGACCCAAAGCAGACAGCTCGCAGACGCTCAGTCGTGTTCCTCCCACGTCCTCTCCATTCATCCATAAAGCTCTATCCAAGCAAGAAAAATACGATCAATACAGTGGAAGACAGGTATTGTACGTACCGCCGCTTCACAATCTGAATGGGGACAGATTAGCTTTTATTTAAACTGGCTCTACATTGATTTATCTTTGACAAAGGCTGCTGGAACAACAACATTTATCCTGTGTGGCTTTCAGTGATTTTTTTTTTTGAAGAGTGGGGGATACACTGATGTTTCTTACAGTAATTGTATGTCCTCATTGTTTTGGATCAATGCATCTCAGAACAGTTGAATCCCTCAGTACAGCTGTTCCCCAATCGACTCCTGCCAGTAGTTTTGTGGTACCTCAGCTCTTAGTATAGACCTTCTTTGTGCTCTCCATTATGCTCTTCTTCACCGACATTATAGTTAGTGACTAGTGTTCGTGTATTTGTTCAGACAAGGAATACATTATGAACATAAAAGTTAGAACCAAAGCTTTTAAATCCAGAGACTCTGAAGAGTAAGAGCGGTACTTCAGTTAATCTGAAACCAGCCTCCAATAGAATCGTATGGTGAATCACTGTGATTCAGTTCTGTTGTCCAGATTAATAATAAAAGTTAAATACTAAAAGTTCTTCATGAAGTCAGTTTTATTGTTTGATTATTAAGAATATTCACTTGTATTTTTATTTGTTACT